AATGTAAGTTTTGTGCTAAAATATATAATTTATTGGAACTGAAAAAATAAATATGTAGGTCAGTAAATGATAAAACATGAGGTAAAGTTATTTTTTAATTTATTTGGTGCATTTTAAGTGTATTTGTTTATTTATTGGTCTATTTATTTATTTCTGCTTTTATTTCTAAATATGTCAGTTTCGGTCCTCCATACATCTGCTCACCGCTGAACCTAAAGACAGGCTGGAAAAGCTGATGAATCTATTAACTGTCAGATTTCCTTTGGGGGTCTTTCTTTTCTGTTTATTAGTTTGTAGAATCCTTATTAAATTATGTGAAGCTGTGGTCTTGGTCCATCTCATTTTGATAATTAAACAAATGATTTTTTTTCCAAATAATAATAATGCAATTTACTGTGTTTATTGGCACCTTTCAAAACGCTCACCTTACAAAATAAAACAAAAGAACAACTCTTCAGGGATGGGTCAGAAGTAATAAGAAGTACAGGGGGAAAAAAGTTTATTCATTGTCGATTTTAATCTAATAATTTATTTCTGAATGTTTGGTTTAAATCTATCCAAGGTTCATTTAACCAAACCCTTAATCTAGTTTTAATTAAATTAAAGACAAATGTAGTAACTGTCCTAAAAGTTTATTTTGATTTATTTTTCCTTTCTGAGAGTCAAACTTTAAAAAACTGCTAAAACATAATATCAAAGTGAGGTTCTGACCCGTTCTCTGCAACAATAAAGGGTCTCGGCTTTCCTAATATCCACACACACTCAGCGGCTCCTGGCTCCAATAATCAGAAAACTGCCACAGGAAATAAATTTTTAYTGAGGCTTTATACATTACTGAGGTAATAAAACTGTCAAATCGGTCAAAGACACCTGAAATTACCAAAAAGCTGCCGCCTCACTTCGGCTCATGTAAAGAAGGGAACATTCAAATATCCTTTTTGCCCTCAAGCAAGAACTTTATAATCACCGGTCCATTCGGCGTGCTCCACTCTACAGTTCAGAGAACAACCTAAAAAAGAAAAAAGTTTGGACAAAAATGTAGAAAACACGTGGAGAAGTAAATCCACAATCTTTTATAAAGGCTTCTGTGGCTAGCAGTTTGGATTTTTCAGAAATTAGAAAAACATGTTCAGAGTCGATCCACAGAGGAAATGTTATTTTTCTCATTTCATCATTTTTCCATTCAAGGAATTGTTTCCATTGCTAAAAACTAAAAGCAGCAGAAAAACTATAAGCTAAAATAAAAGGCTTATAAGCTAAAAGTTTTAGAAYGGTAGCTGAAGGCTAAAGAAAACAAAACAAAGCTAAATTACTGAGGCAGATTTCAGGCAGAATAAGGTTTTTGAAGGAATTAGAAATCTTTGTTTTATGAGGAAACTAAATAAAATTTTATATTTTGAAAAGTATAAAGTTGCAAAAAACTAAAAGCCACATGACTTATCTCCTGGATGAGTTGATAAATGAGTGGCTTAAAAGAGTTAAATAAAAAATAAACACAAAAATAACAAAGTGAAGCTGAATCAGTTTCTTATTCGTGAGCTTATTTCACAACAAATCCTGAATAATTAGGATT